TAGCAGGGATCCAGGCCAGACAAGCAGGGACGGGAAGATGATAGGGAGGCCAGGTCAGGGCTGCACAGCAGTCAGTCAAACAGCACTTAGTATGTGGCCACACGGAAGCAGCAGTACCTCGCATGGACTGTGAGGCTCCCTGGGTAGACAGAGGGAGGTAACTCTTCCTGCCCGAGTCTGCATGCTCGAGGGAGGTAGCGGGCACGGCGCTCTTCCTGCCCGAGTCTGCATGCTCGAGGGAGGTAGCGGGCACGGCGCTCTTCCTGCCCGAGTCTGCATGCTCGAGGGAGGTAGCGGGCATGGCGCTCTTCCTGCCCGAGTCTGCATGCTCGAGAGGGCGAGGCGTGTCACGTGTTGTATGACAATGTTATGATGCCAATTTTTTCCCCCAAAATGGATTTAATGCTGAATATGATTAAATTACTATTTCATTAAACTGGCTAATAATAGTAAACATCTCAGCTATTAATTTTATGTAGGATCAATTATAATATGTTCCTAATGCATGGAGCTTTGTGAAATAAAGTAAAAATGTTTCGTATATTTAAAGCTGATAATTTACAAAAGAGAAAAAGGCATGGTAAAGACGTGTGTCAGTTTGTGTGTGTACTGAAATCAGCTTTATAATCTGTTACCTTGATTTTCCTCATTTTCACACTTGTAAAGATAGTAACACAGAATCTTGGATCACATTTGTCCTTTAATTCTGCATAACCAATCATACGCAGGCTTACAGCAAGCCAGAAACCTCCCCAGACAAGCACAGCAGAAGAGAGATGGATAATGCCGCTTCTTTCAAAAAGATTTATGACCTAAAGGTCAAAAAGGTCACAGGTCAAAAGTTCACTGGGTGGGCGGGGTTGGGGTGGAGCCAGGTTATGTCACGACTAGTGACGTTGTTAATTATTTGCATATGTTGGGAGAGGGGTGGTTTTTAAAAATTATTTGTTTATGTTTATTATTATTATTTTAATTAATTATTTATTTTTATTATTTATTTATTTATTAATTATTATTTTAATAATTTATTTTATTTTTATTATTATTATTTATTTTATTTTGACTAGTTTGGAGAGTGAAATGAAGTTCCAGTGAATTGTGTGCTTATGAGCAGGGTTTGTCGGAATAGCCCCGTGCTATGGGGGTGCTGGCTGACGGTGCCGAGCACGGAGCTGAGCGCGTACCTGAGCGCGTAGCTGAGCGGGTCGGTTACCTGATGGAGTGTGAGTGTACGCTGGGTCTGCCTGTGGTGCGGTACTGTGGGAAGGTCCTGGTCGGTCCGGAGCGTGTAAATGTTGCGGATAAGGACTTTGGAGATTCTGCAAAGGACTCAGAGATTGTGAGAGCGATGTTGGAGCTTATCCCTGTGTTGCGCGAGTCTGAAAGAAACTGTGTGAAAATGAGAAAGTTGAAGCTAAGAATGAGAGGAGGAGGAGGAGGTGGGTCTGACGCTATCCTCCAATAAGCGCTTAGCAGCAGCAGTTTTAAGCAGCAGCAGAAATATTGAATATTGAAATATTAAAACTAGTGCAAAATAATAGCAATGTCACCAATTGCAACTGAGGTATTTCTTCTGACTTTTTCCCACTCTTTTGCGCTCCCTAATTAAATGACACCCTATAGGCCAGCCCTGGATTCAACAGTAAACATGAAAACTGGAGAGCAGATGCAAACCACTGGCACAGAGGGCCAGAAGAGGAATGGAACCTACGAGGCTTTCAGAGGCTGAGAGGCTGTTTATATTATGGCCAGGATTTCAATCAATGGCTTAATCATGTCTAATTGCTTAAGAGTTTAACTGAAATAAGATACAACATTCTAATCGTTTTCTTCAAGTAGTTGTGCTCTTTACATCTCAGTGGGATTGCTCACTTAAGTGGGTAAACACTGCATTAACATACAGCCATATACATACAATCATGAAAGTCTTCAAAATAAGAGCACCACTGCACAGGACCACACTTACTGGCTGGATTTTAAACATGGGATTTAAGATGAAACACAGTTGAGGAACCCTGAAGCTTGGACTCTTTATTAAACCTAGCATGCCTTTGACTGTCTCAGACTGTGTTGCGTGAAAAACAGATGACGGCAAAGCAGCTGTTAAAGGCTCACCTTGGACCTTTGGCTGAACATTCCTGACATCTAGTGGGGTTGTCGCGTCATTGCAGCACTGGAAAAAAAGTTCTTGGACGTGTCAAGTAATACGGTCTGTGTGCAATTTACTTTTCAAGGACTGTATTGGGATACATTATTGGAATACACTCAAACAAATAACTGCTTTTTTCAATAAACTGTTACCTTTTTATTTTTAGTTATTATTTTTAATAACATTTTATCTTTTTCTATTTAATATTTTCAATAAAGCTTCACCTTTTTGTCACTTGGGCCCATAGTCAATGCTAAGTGTCAAGTGGTTAGATGCATGAATGATGCTAGCAGACGGAGAGATAGGAGACAGGATTGACTGACACCACAGCCTTTCACAAGGACAACAATCACCGTTTGTTGTTTCTTTGCAGAGCACGTGATGAGGAGACGCAAACAGCCGAGGAACGTGGACTTTCCAAATGAATTCTCAGCTTGATTGTGTACAGATGCAAACTAAGTATTGAAAGCAATGTTAACTGAAGCATCCTAATAAGTCATGATCAGCAGTGTATAAGTCATGATCAGCAGTGTATAAGTCATGATCAGCAGTGTATAAGTCATGATCAGCAGTGTATAAATGTGTGACGTGGTTTTAAATCTTCTAACGATTTTTAGTGGAGGATTCACATGCTTCCCGTCATACTCATATCTCACTGGGTAACTAACATATTAGGAAGGAGTCATGTGTCAATTAAGGACCTGGGTTCGGTAAAGTATGTGGGTAAACATGAGTGTCCTGCAATGGGTTGGTGCCCCATCCTGGGTTCTTCACTGCCTTGTACTCGTAGGCTCTGGGCCCCCTGTGACCCTGAATAGTGGTTTGGAAGATAAAATGGATGGAAGATAGATTACACTAATTTATAGAGCTGGGAAATTTATTGCAGTAACGCATGCGGTATTTTGTTACTGCAATACAGAAATAGTATGAGCATAGATTTTACTAGAGACCTATAACATTCCTCTCACACTGTAAACAACATCAGCATTTAGGTTATAATGTTGCACAGAATCCCAGAATTGAGAGCTAAAGTCAAAACATTCAGGTAGCTACTCATACTTACCGTAGTTTACTTTGTTATAAAAAATAACCTGACTCAGGCACTCATAGGTTAAAAATATTGCGATTTGCAATAATTATTTTATTGAACCTTAAAATATTAAGATCTTTCATGTTACAAATTGGTAGTTTCAGTCATTGTCATGCTTCTGTTTTTAGAGCCATTTGTCATAAAAGAATCTTGAAGTAGGTTTGAAGTTTTAGATAGATCACGCCATCAGGATTAAGTAGGGATTCCATCCTGTTGGGTACCTGCGATTTTTATGTACATGAGATATATACCATTAATCCCCCAGGTGTGTGATTATCATTCTCACAAACTTGATGTTATGTTGAGGAAGAAATGACTCTTGCGACCATTTCAGTGTCCAAAAGGACTAAGTGTGAGTGTGAATGGATCTAGACCACAAACAAGCTGAAGTGGACCAGAAAGTGAACTGAGTGCTTTTGGATGGTGTGAATCCAAAGAGGATTGAGTTCTCTTTCTATTTGCCCACTTTATGGTCCACTTAAAGAGCTCTTTTAGAGAGGGCTACAGTATATATGAATACGCCCTTAATTACACACTCGCCGCGCAGCTTGCGATCCTGGTCGCCCACCACCAGCGCGCCTGGGACTGCCATCCATCCCGGACCTGTGGGCATAGAGAGCAGCGGTGCAGGAGAGCATTTGGTGCAAGCCAGCTGTGCTGATGTTTGGGTGGGAGCTGAGAACACCAGTGGATTTTGTGTTCAGGTGGCCCCAGAACCAGAGGTACCACAGAACCTGCGTTGCCTCCTGGGCAATCTGAAGGGTGTGAAAACTGGCCCAGCAGCACCAAGGCGCAGCGACTGCCTGACAGATGTGTTCCAACAATGCATGCAGCCGAGGGCAGGACTTTGACATTGTGGATCCGGTTTGGGTGCACTGTCCCACTCACAAGAAGGGACAGCTGCCCAATCTAGACAGTCATTGATGGGGAACGGCGGGGATCCGCAAGTGCCTCTCCTGGCTGCAGCTCCCCATGACGAAATGCTGCTGTTCTGCAGAAGGACCGTCTGGCACTGAATCTTCCCCTGGCCTGACCTGACACTCCTGCAGCAGCCGAGAATGAGGATGCACCTGGAAACTAGCCTTGGGGACAGTGACATGCCGGCTGTGGTGGCAACGACGGTCTCCACAGCATCTGCGGGACTTAGTGTTGGAATTGAGGGTTGCCAAAGACGGCTGACCCCTCAGGTGGGGACAATGTAATTCTGCAGGGCTGCTTCCAAGAGAATGACTATTCATATTACCAGCATGACTTGTTTGTGTTATACTGTAGCAATGTTTAGCATACAGTATGTTTTTGCTGGCACCCAACCTTAGTGTGAATGTCATGTTGTTCCCCAAAACACTTTATCCATCATCTAATCCAGTGTGTTAATACCTCTGCATCGAAATAACTCCAAGACGGCATAAACACAACCTAGTTTTGCAAGCAGATATCCAGGACGGGTCAAGTTGAGCCTAGTGCCTATAGGAGACAGTGTTGGACACTGGGAAAACACAACTATCAACCTATTCTATAACTGATCTCTAATTACTCCCAAAATATTCATCAGGAGATGGAAAAAAGTGACATAAGCCAGTCCTAAATCAGATCCAGGCTAAAAAGGAGTAAAGAAATGTGTCTGATTTTACAAGAAAAAAAATCTACTTAGTCAACAATAATCTCGATTGCTTAGCTACCAAAAACATAAGTTTATAAAATGTTTAATCCCTAGACTGCTTAATATAGCATAAAAGCTTACAATCTCTATCAACCAACGGGAGTGCAGGGCAGAGACCGCGACTGGGAAGCGTGAGAGTCAAACAGGCGATAGGCGTGGTAGAGCTGGTCCGGTGCAGTTTGACGGACTGGAGCGGGGAGATTAACGGGGCACGTTATTGCTTTTTGGGATGCATTTAGATTTATTGTATTCTCGCCTTCCTTCGCTTTCATTGGTTATCGCCACCTGAATCACATTTGGATGAGACTCATGTATCACGACGTCTTAAGGCGTGGGGAATGTGCTAAGGTAAGATCTGATCGGATTATGGTAGTGGTCGTCACCTGGATGTGTGTCTGCCACACCTTATGCTGATAGTGAAACAAACCCATGCATTTCTTTCCAGATGGTGCTCACCGTGCTTATTCAACATGAATGTCACAGAATGCTTATACTGGACATATCTGTAAACGCGCCTATATCGTATCCTCAAATTAAGCGTCATTAAAACGTGTCTTTGCCGTTATATCTTATTGATCTGAAAGAAACTGTTGCTAGTTTTCAGTTCTAAAATGAACCTTGTTTTGGTGAAGGTTAGCGAGCAATGGCCGTCCTTCGGCATCCTAGGTAATTCAGTTGGAGACGGAGAGTAAAGTGGGGTTTATGTGCTTAAAGCACACAGAAGGCTGATCTGTACTGCATGTCGTCCACGGTTGTGCTGCAAATTCACACCTCGTCCCAAACCGTGTAGCTGAACAACGTTTGGATAAATAAGACGTGATGTTTTTATGTGCATGGTCGAATGATTATAGCTATTTACAATTTACAATATCGATGCTATCTTTCGTCGCACACCGGAATTGAATTTGAATTGGTGAATTATAATCGAGCTGTTTTCGTGCAGCACGTAAACATTACGTCATTTTAATTATAAAAATAATTTTAATAACAATTTATTCAAGGTTGTTGTTGAGTGTCGTGTTTATGTGTCGGTAGCAGGCCGTTTTGGCGATGTAATCGCTTCTGTAATACCAGAGGGGCAAGATTAACAACGCATATTCCCTCGTCGCGTTTTATCTGATGGGTAAAAATGCCCCGCAGCCTCGCGCCTCAAAGCATAGGCTCTCCGAGGATGCTGCTGTCACGCTCCTGCTGCGGTTGCTAGGCAGCGGAGGTCGGGAGTGTGGGTAAAGGATGCCGATATGATATGAGAGGAAGCACCGACATGCAAGCAAACTCCTGTTTAATCAAATCACAGAAACGTTTTTTTTTTTGTATGTGACCCATATTTGGAGATGTTTGAAACCGCGAATGACTGCTGGTTCGCTGCTTAGTGCTTATATGAAATTTATGTGGCTGTCCAACCTTATCCTATGCTAGGAAACACCGCTAAATGTAACCAGCCATCCAGTCAATCTGAGGATGCTCACATATTTATACACATAATGCCTCTGGGGTTCGAACCCACAGCCCTGGAGGTATAAGGCCCAAACACTGTCCTCTTCAGCACTGTATCATAGTGTAAGCCTGTGTTTCTTCCTGTTTCCCCATTTGCGGTCCAGTTATCGGCCACTTCTCCACAGAGTTAAGATGAGCGTTTCGCCTGTACCACACAGTCCTGGTGATGCCACACAGGCGGTTGACCTCCCACTTCCAGATGGCCTTCTGGCACAAGACCAGGCATCACTGTCCACTATCCTGCAGAGTCCCGTGAGTTTTGCTATTCTTCCAACCTTGTATTCAAAGAAAACATTATATCTAATCCTGATCTTATAACATTCAAAATAATCACTTTTTAAAACCTTCAGTTTTAGTAAGGAACCTTGAGCTCTTATTTTGTGTGTCAAAATCGATGATGACTCATCTACTACAAACCAGATTTACCTAGAGGTACTAATAAAGTAACTTGAACTAACTTATAACTTACTGATAACACCATATAACACAGTTTTTGTGTCTGTGAAATAACTATTAGTTTCTGTTAGCTTATATATCCAAATGATAGAAAATAACTTTCATTTCAAAATATCTTTGATTTTGTGGTCAGGAAATCAATAGTTCAGAACACACATTAGATAACATTAACAGCCTTTGCAAGAGACTTTTTTTTACAAAATCATCTCACTTGTGTCCATATAGTCCAATTAAACTTAAGAATTACATGTCCTTTTAGACTGATGATTGTAAACTAAGTTACTGTCACAAACAAGACCCCAGATGTAGTCCCCCATCATATTCTTGTTGTATTGTCCTTGGTATCGACGCTCAAATTCCTTGAGATCTTGGTGGAATCTTTCTCCTTGTTCCTCTGAGTACGCTCTCATGTTCTCCTTAAAAGTTTGTAGATGAGCATCCAGGATGTGCACCTTTAGCGACATCCTACACCCCATAGCCTGATAGTTCCTTTCTAGTGTCTCTACCACATACACATAATTCTCAGCCTTATGATTTCCGAGGAATTCCCGTACTACTGCGATGAAGCTACTCCAAGCTGCCTTTTGGATCTCTGTGAGAGTGCTGGGAAATTGCTGACACTCCATTATTTTCTTTATCTGTGGTCCAACAAAGATACCAGCTTTTACTTTAGCCTCAGACAGCTTGGGAAAGAATTCTTGTAGGTAGCCATGTCAACGACATCTAGCGATATATCTGACTGATGTTACAGCAATTACATCGCTGTATGTTTAGACTTTATATATACAACAGCTTGGCACCATAACTTAATGCCATTGAACGACAGAATTATTAGCAGTGACTCAAACAAGGTTTTGCTGCAGTGATGCTAAACTTATGGCCATGACTGTATACAAAATGTTGGACAGAAGTGACAAAACCAATGTTTTGAATCAATGGATGATTGTTACTAGTTGCTTTTGACCCAAGCAACATGAAAATTACATTGTCTTGCCAGGAACAAAACAAAAAATTTTTTGTTGTTGCCTTGTGTAATCTATGTCCTACAGATGCTTTCAATCATATTCACACTGCCCTCATCGATTACATTCTATGTCTGCTCATAGCATTCTTTCTCTTCCTCATTGTCAGTCCTTCAGGGAAGAGCTGGATATCCTGATCCAGGATCAGATGAAGAAGGACAGCAGCTCCTCCAGCCTGTGGGCCCTGCAGCGCATTGCTGACTTCCTGTCTTCCTATGGTGCCTCTGTGGCTCTCCCCACCTCGCCATGTTGTAGGTGTCTCCTGTTGTCTCATTGCCGCATACAAACCCCGACTGATGCTACATGTTAGCAGATGTGAATTAACACACTCGATGCTATGTAGAAACTTTGCTGTAGTGATGGACAAAATGACGCTTAATTAATGAACTATTTGCTGTATTTTTTTAACCCACTAGATGGTGCTCTCTTTGCAAAAATGGGCACAGAGCATGCCCCAAAGCAAACCAAGAGCACCATCTAGTGGAGTCAAGAAATACAGCAAATGGTTCAAGAAGAATCATTTTGCCCATCACTTCTTTACTGCTGTAGGGGCATAGACCACTGCTTCTAAGTGAAATTGTGTACCATTGAGGACCCACTGAGACACCAAAATTACCTCTTTGTGGTGTCCTAGCATCACTTGGCACATAATAATCTCATCATGTCGATGTTTCGCATCGACTCAACGCAAAGGACTAGTCAATATCAAGTCAAATTCAGTTTTTACTTGTAAGCACAGTGATAAACTATTTACTTGCTTAACATGATACCTAATATTTTTACTTGTTCCTTTGTGGGTCCTAATGGCGTGCGGCTACCATCTGCACTGGCTGTCCCCTGGTCACTGTAGCCTTGACGACAGTGATGCCGATCAATGACCTGCGAGGCAGGGATCCTGGCTCCATGGCGAAGGGGGAGGGCCTGCAGCGCTGCAAACTGGCCAGCGTTTACCGCCTGTTGGACTTTTACGGCTGGGCCCGCCTCAGCCGCACATACCTCACGGTGAGCCCGCCTGTCCCCACGAAGAGCCGGCTGTCAGCCTGACTGCATCTCTGTTCCGGATGCGTCTTTGTATATCCGTGCGTCCAGCTGCAGCTGCACAGTCTTTCGTCGAATTTCTCGGCGCATTGAGGTGCCTCGCCTGTCTTTCCAGCTGCGCGTGAGTAAGGAGCAGGATCACTTCCTGGTGCTTCCAGACGGCTTGTCGTACAGCGAGGCGACGGCCTGCAGCCTGGTGAGTCACACGCGCATCCACATTTCTGTCTTTGTGAGAACTTTCCACCCACCCTTCTTTCAACAAAGTAATCCCATTGCAGTTTAATTCACAACAGAGTTGGCACACTTACTGTTTTGAAACACAGCACTCTGCCATCTTTATTGTTCCTTCGTACACAAACACGGGCACCCACATCCCCCGCAGGCTCTGAAGGATGATGCATGTGTCCCCAGGTAAAGGTGAATGTCCTGGGGGAGGTGGTTGAGCAGGGCAGCACCGCACTGGGGGTGGACCTTGGCGTCTTTGACCTGCATGCTGCCATCCACTCTGCCCGGCCTGACGTGCGCTGCCTGCTTCACCTTCAAACACCTGCCACGGCAGCGGTGGGTACATTGCTTGTGTAAATGTACAGAGGAGGAGCACAAATGCTAGCCTCAGTGCAACTTGTATGTCACTTAAATACCTTCTACCTTTAAATCAGTCTAATTACCTTAAATTAACACTGGAAACATATGTATGCAGAACTAATTTTTTTTTATCCTGCAAGCATGTACAATTTCTTAATCACAGTGCCACCTACTGGTGTATTGCTTCAATAACGGCTCACAATCTCTGAGTATCCATGGAGACCAAGGGTGTAGCTCAGGGTAGTCCTCTCTGGGGGTCTCGCAGAGGTTTGCCATGTTGTGTCTCAGAGCTCTCTCGCTTTCTCCTGGACCTGGTGTCAGTGGATCCTCTCTTGCGCACCACTGAACTGTGAGTGACGTGGAATATCCAGCAGACGACTTGACAGCACTGAGCTCTGCCCTGTCTGTGTGCCGGAAAGGTGTCAGCCATGAAATGCGGCCTGCTGCCGCTCTCCCACGAGGCCCTCCTGGTGGGTGGGGCAGCCTACTACAGCTACAGCGGCTGCCTGGAGGAGGCCAGCGAGAGGCTGGAGCTGCAGAGGAACCTGGGCCCCACCTGCAAGGTTATACCCAGAAACACCATGTGATGGACAGTGTGCAGCTGGAATGCTGGGGCGATTGGAGTGGTGCTACAATGCTGTGGTGCTATGTTCCTCGTACTCAGGTTCTGGTCCTAAGGAACCACGGTATAATGGCTCTTGGAGAATCAGTGGAGGAGGCTTTCTACATCATCTATCATGTGCAGGCAGCCTGTCAGATACAGGTGAGATACTCCAATAGCATCCACACTCCTAACGTCCCGCTGATGCTGATGGTTTGAACATGCCTTCTTACTGTGGGGAGGCAAAGTTCATTCATCAGGATGGCATCAGGCTGCAGTGCCCCTTTCTGCCTACAGGTGTCAGCCATGTGCAGCGCTGGTGGAGAGAAGAACCTGATCCTGTTAGACCGGGCCACCCAGAGGCCCTACCCGGCCGGCACTGTAGGCTGGGCGGGGTCCACTTTCGGCCCAATGCACAAAAGCCGGCGCGGGGAGCACGAGTTTGAGGCACTAATGAGGATGCTTGACAACCTGGTGAGGCCAGAACTAAACAGCAACCTTTTTTATCCCGTTTCATGTGCTCTGTAGTGTAAACAAAGTAACTTACAGGGTTTCTATTCAAGTGGGCAAATTAACTCCCTGTAATAGAGAAACCACACAATGCCTTGGTCATTAGCTTTAGCCGAATAAGAAAATAAATAATAGCAGTGACAGACAAGCACAATGCACAACGGCATATTAAATTAGACGTGATCATAAATCTGCATCGGCCCCAAGGGCTGGAGGCCTGTGAGTTTAGGTAACATTTGAGTTAGCAGGTGATTTGCAACTGAAACAGCAGGTAAATTGTTAGGAGCTGAGGGGGCACCGGGGGGGGGGCAGCAGTGTGACAACCCCGCCTGGTTCTCTCTGCTCCTGCCAGGGCTACAGGACGGGCTACCCGTACCGCTTCCCAGTGCTGCGGGACCGAGCACAGGCACGGCGGGAGGTGGAGGTCGCCGCCAGCGGCATGACTGCCCTCAGCCTGGAGTGGGCCGGGGGCCGGCGCCACCTGTGCCCACCCCCCCACGCCCAAAGGCAGCGGCAGGAGAGGGCCAAGTGGCTCAACACGCCCAACAGCTACTGCAGGGTGGACCAGACTCAGGACAGCCCAGGGTGGCAGCGCTGCACTGTAAGGGCAAGGGGAGCCCGTGCAGGGACTCTTCTGTTATACAGGGACGTAGAAGGGGCCTCGCTCTGTATCTCATGCATGCGTGTGCAGTCAGCAGATGGTGGGGATGGATGAAAGTACGATGTGGATCTCACACATAAAAATGTACCTGGTATGCAGCCAGCATATAAAACATACAGTGCGGGCAGGAAGAGATTGGGAGCGAACGGTAAACACTGAGGATTCATCCACAGTCTCACGGAACTGTCACTATTGCGAAGTCACTTCGGAAGCTGGGTTAACTTTCCTGCTGAAAGTCGCCAGCTGCTCTCTCCCCTCCTGTTTCTAACTCTCTAACTGTCTCCAGTTCTCTGCAATGCAGGGGTAATTCACAGTCCCATGCTGATTACTGCAGTGCCTCCACTGCCCTCTGCTGGACATTTTTTCAAATGTCACAGAATTGCACAGAAGCAGTCAATCAAGTGCTCTCTTAACCAGTTCCTGTTTCTTTATGCATATCTTGTCTATACTGGATAAAAGCTGATATTAGTTTTACATTGGGAAACTATTTTAAAGCTTAACTTTAACTTTCTATGGAGAATGTCTAGAAATTCTAGTTATTCGAATTTTAATTACTTAACATAGAAGCCAATAAGCAGACTTATGTGATTGACTTTTCTGTTATTATTGTTGTAACATCTGAGTTCTCTTCCCCTTTCGATCCTCAGTGGTTGAAGGCTCAGGAGCTGAAACAGGGAAGTGGCTTGGCCATCAAGATGGAAAATCCCAACCAGTTTGTGCCTCTTTTCACCAATCCCCAGGAGGTGCTGGAGACGCGCAGAAAGGTGGGGTCTACATCACAGCCTCTGACACGAAACGGCCTATCCTGAGCAAGGGGGGGGGGGGGGGGGGGGAAGGGAACAAACCTAAACAAAAACAAAAAAATTGTGGTCAAAATCTCTTAGAGCGTCTATAGAACCAGGTGGCACATGCTAGCCTTTTGTCCCGCTGCCAGATCCGTGAGCAGAACCGGCAGGAGGTGAAGTGGGCGGGGCCTCAGTCCCACGTCCTGGCCAGCATGCTGTCCGACACGGATCTTAACCAGGTCTGACTGAGCAGAGCCGCACATGGAGATCCACACCCTACTGCAAGACAGCCAGGGTGCCAGGTTCTTACCGTGTCACTTGTGTTTACATGTGTTTCACCCTCCTGTCCTTCCTCCTCACCTTAGGCCTCAGAGCCTAACCTGACCCAAACCGGGGCTCCCTCTGGCCCAGATAACAGTACCGCTGAGCCTCCGCCGGCCCCAGAACCCGAGCCCCCCAACCCCTTCAGCCAGCTTACGGATGAAGAGCTGGAAGAGTACCGGCTGGAGGTGCAGAGGAAGCAGCGCTTCGGCCTGAACGGAGGTACCCGCCCACGCGTTCTGCCACCTGTCATGTCACCCTGCTCTGCTCTCTACCTCTCGCTCCACATCCTCTATGTCTTCCTCTGGCAGCTGGGGCACAGCTGGTGGACATGCAGGCCGCCTCCCCCACAGCCTCACCGAAGATGGACGCCTCCAATCCCCCACCAGGTACTGATGCAGATGGCGCCCCCTTCTGGCACTCACGGGGAAACATACAGCAGTCACACACATGCTAGACGACACACCGGACACACAGGCTGACATAAGCATGTATGACACGATCTAGCTATTTGTCCTGATGCTAATATGCCACCTCCCCATCCCAGATGAGTTGCTGGTTGTGGCTCAAAATGGAAACAAGGAGAACCAGAATCAACAGGAGGAGGACCACCCTCTGGAGAGCGGGATGAAGGCACTGTCCATGGAGGAAACTATTCCAGCCTCCCCCACAGCATCCCCTGCTGAGCCCCCATCCAAGTCGCCCACCAAGCCGCCTGCTGCAGAAGCCTCGCCCTGCAAGAAGAAGAAGAAGTTCAGGACCCCATCATTCCTCAAGAAGAGCAAGAAACAGAATGTGAAGGTGGAGGCTTGATGGGACAGACAGATATACATACGAGACCCTTCCCTGTGCAAACAGGCTGCCTGGCTACCTCCCTCATTATTATGGGCTGCCTGGCCCTTCCCCTCATTACTACTGCCCCCCTGGCCCCCACTCATTACCACAGGTTGCCTGGTCCCTCCCTCATTACCACAGGGTTCTGGCCCCTCCCTCATTACCACAGGGTTCTGGCCCCTCCCTCATTACCACAGGGTTCTGGCCCCTCCCTCATTACTATAGGCCCCCTAACCTCTCCCTTATTACTTCTTCCCCCCTGGCCCCTCCCTCCACTACGGGTGGCCTGGGCCCTCCCTCATTGCCACAACCTGCTCCTGAGTCTGGTCCCTCATTACAACACACAACAGCATCAGTTACATTACATGACTTATATTACATCGGTTACAAGATTTCTGGTACAGCACACTGGATCCCTAGAAGGTTTGCTGTTATACCTTTGAATAGGCATGAATAAGCTAGAAAGGCTCCAGTAAAATATCCAGCTGTATAATTCGGTTGAGCCCTTTGGATAAAAAAAAAAAATCATCCAAGATTCAAAATAACCTTGCACAAGGGTTAAACTGACATGCACATCAGAGAAAAGAGCTGCATTCTCCATCGATAGGTATCACTAAGTATCCAGATGGACCCCAGAGGCAAAGGCAGGCACTGATTTTATTCTAACAACAGCAGGCAGTGATGGCTTCTATGTTTGCCATTTTCATTTCAAAAGCGATGGCTGCCCTGCTCAGATTGCATCTTAGATAAATGAACAACCGATAAGCGACAATCCCTCAATGAATGTCTGAAAGGTAAAGAGTCAGTGAGGGGAAAAGGCAGATTTTATTTCTGCTTTGTAGCTCATGGTTGTGCCTACAGGCCTGATATAGATGTCTTTTCGTATTCATGGTTGACTCATTGTATATTTAAAATGTACTTGTAAATAAGACTTGTATCAGTATTTTTCCCCTCTACAGGCATGGCAGTATCCCTTAAATACTGTCATTACTTGTGTTCCCAGTGTCTTTAACTGGTTTCCTGTTAGTCGTCAGTTGGATTAGGACCTCCCATTAAAGATCCAATCTGTTTTATGTGTTTTTCTTTTCTTTTCTACTGGATAAGACTGCCCCCTGCAGGGCGGTGCACGCTCACACCTCCCCAGAACACGAGGTGGAAACAGTGGCATCAAACTTCTGCATTCGCAGGAATGTTTGCTGTCTATCAGTCACAGACACGTTCTTCACTTTTACCCAAAGAACCCCCAAGAGCAGAGAGAGCCAGGCTGGGTCGCCACACCAAGTCTGCCTGGACTGTAGGTCACGTCCCCATCAACCTCAGCTCTAAGTGACACATGGCAAAACTGTGCATACAGAGCCCTAAATAATTAAAACTACGGTCCACACAGAGTTGCCTTGTGGGAGTGGAAGACAGCTGGGCTAAAATGAACCACCCATGAGTGAGAAGAAGGAAAACTCTGCATGGGGCGAGGACTTGTACTACGGTCCGGCAGCAGTTACCGTAGACGATCCCTAGAGGGGAGTGTCTCTCTTCCTTCCTGTTGCCCAGGGGAACGGTGGCTTCAACATCGCCCCCTTCTGCGCTGGATGTGCTGCGCTCATGTCCCCACCAGCGCCTCCCGCAGGACGATGTCCATGCGACGCTTCACGTGCCTAAAAACATGTGTTTACTTTTCTTATATTTCGTATTTTATGGGCTCCTGCAAGCTTTCTGCGCAGTCCCAAGCCCAAACAGGGAACTTATGCTAATTAGAATGCAAAGTCAACTGTGCAGGGCGCACGAAACGGAATACTAACTAGCACTTTAAGGAGGACGCCAACTCCCACCTGAAAAATTTACATGATGCAATATGGCAAACTCCTGTAACCATAACTGTATAAATATTTCATAAAAATAAAATTATAAACCAGTAAGAGATCGGATGGATAGACGAATGAAAGTAGTAACCAAACACGATGATAATAGGACAGTGTGGACTTGGATCTGAACTGCCTCTGGGGGCAGATGAAGACTGGTAATTAGGACAAAGAGGTACTCTTCCAGAGAGACTCCTACATTAATTACCATGTTGCGCTGAACATCCGCCGCGATGCCAGGGCCAGCCCATGCCACGGAGCAACTCCATGCTTGGACTTCAAGGTCATCGGCTGCAGCGGCTGGATTGTGGCGCCCCCTAGCAGTGATGCTTATGAGTGCAGCAGAGCTGGTCCCACCCACCAAGCACGTTGTAGACCAGGCACTGCTGAAGCCACAGAGCCCCCTGGTGGTGGTGCTGTGTTGGTGCTGTACCTGGTCGACATGGGCGTGGCAAAGTATGAGAACGAAGTGGGGAGTAATCGTGGGAGTGGACAGTCACCATGCAGAGGGATTTGGGCAGGTACACAGACCAGCCCCAGCTTAAAATATTTGATCTTGCTGTACTCATAAGCTTTTGTTAAAACACAAAATAGGAACTGAGTGAAAATAATTTTTTTCATGCTTTGACTTATATACCATACCTGGAGTTTATTACAGAGAACACACAATCCAGTGCATGAACAAATTATCTCAAACTCTACACCTTTCTGTATTTTTGACCAGACTAGATAGCCTAGATGGTTTGCTTTGGGGCATTAATTGAGCCCTTATTTTATTAGAGAGCACCATCTAGTGGTGTCAGAAAATACAGCAACTGGTTCACGAAGTTTCATTTGATCATCATTAGGTAACCAATACATGAAAAAACATACAAACAAAAACAGACTAGAATTACAAAAATTTTATCTTTACTGAAATCAGCTGAAAAGAGGGCAGTACATCCTGCAGAATAAACAAGGTGGTCAGGAGGTGCTCCTTGCCCCAGCAGAGCTGTTGCCACCCATCTGACCAATGGACATGCTGTCCAAAGGGTGACATACTCTAATTGGCAACTGTGTCAACACTGGACAGTTCCACAGGTAGAGAAAGACAGGAAATGTATACCAAGGTAAGATATGGTACACAGCATTATAGTATTATATATACCCAATAAGATGTCTAATGGCCATGGGTGATGAAGAGCTCTGCGACCTGGCCGGACCATTTCTGTAGCTGCCACCGGCAGCGATTCCCCAGCACCATCCATCGGGTGACATCAGCATGGCTTCGCAGACAGTTTGAGGCCACGGCCTCACTTATCATGAAACATTAGCCGGTCATTACGGCGTCACACATGTAGAACACACCCAGGAGCCAAGCTCTGGGACACGTGAGAAGCTCAAGGAGGCAGGGGGGGGTAACTCAAGAACTCCCCAAGGGCGTAACCCGAGAATGTTCTGGAGCGGCTGTGGCGACTTGTTTTCTGACTTCTGTGGAGGTGCCCAGCAAAGTACGAGCCACACGCAGACGGTGGAATCAGCTCAGAAGATGCTGGATGCAGCGGCATCTTCTCTGGTCAGGGAGCGCTATAGTACCTCTCTCATTTTCTCCTGTTAGCCCCCACCTGCATTACTCCGCCCCATGCTCTGTGGCAATGCACTCCTGCACTGGACATGTCAGACATGTCTTAGAAACATGGGGGGGGGCTTTGAAGTGGATAAATGAGCCATACAGAACAGCTGCCATCTCTCAGATCTCTGGGTTTCACAGACATCAGCTACACCCCCCCCCC